ACACAGCATTAAATGAATAGTATTTATCATAATACACATGTACAAGTTCAAATACAAACATGCACGTGTAAACCAGGTTTTAATGAGCTAATACTAGAATTGCTGGTGTCAAATATGCTTTATGTAATGCTGCCCTCTAGTGATTACAACTCTATAGTTTTATTAAGATATACATCAAGTTCATTTTGGTATCTAGTTAAAAATTGCATAAAATTGAGCAAACTGAATTTCCAGGTACTGTACTAGTACATGTATCAACAATATCATTCCAACATTTGTTGCTGTAAAACAGAAGATCAACTTTTTGCATGGTTGCTGGCAATTTGCCGATATTTGGACATGGTTTCAAACCATATTATTCCAACATTTTTTTGCGGTAAAACAGAAGATCAACTTTCTGCATGGTTCCTGGCAATTTGTCAATATTTGAACCTGAACAACTTATGTCATTATTTATGTATCGAACCATATTATTTCAATATTTGTATTTTTGCAGTAAAACAGAAAAACAATTTCCGGATGGTTGCTTGCAATTTGCCAATACGTCGCTGTTTTCACGAAGTGACGGTAGTGAAAAAAAATTGCATTCACTTTGCGTTACGATTTTCCTCACTACCGTCACTTCGTGAAAACAAGGACGAATATATGAACCTGAACAACTTATGTCAGCAATTTTGTATCAAACCATATTATTCCAACATTTTTGCGGTAAAACAGAAGATCAACTTTCTGCATGGTTGCTGGCAAAGTGGCAATTTGCCAATTTTTGATCAAGGCTGCTCAATTATGACATTATTTTCATGCCAATGTCAATGTCAAACCATCCAAGGCCTCTAAATTTACTATATCAAGCAACAACAAAAAATGGAATTAAATTTCAATTTATTTGATTAACACTTTGGTTGCTTCTTTTGCTCTCTGCAGTAGCTTGTTTGCCATACGTGTAATTTTGCCCACACAAAAATAGCCCCAAAATTGTTGAAGGATTGCTTTGTGTAACACGATGGCCTTGCAAAATTACCCAACTTCCAATCTTGATTAGCTCCATGGCAACCCTTTAACACCAGCATTGATATAATCTTGTAATTAAAACAGTTAAATAATCTTGAAGCCTATGGTATATCTATACCATGATGAATATGATATGGATCAGGGAGATTATTAGTGTGGCTTATAAAGAGAAAACCAAGCACACATGTAGAAAACATGATCAGAATTTTAAATAAAAAAAAAGACTGACAATTTAAAGTGCTATGCCATTATATAATTTCAGACTTGCATGACTGGGCAAGTCAGTAACCCTTGTGTATTTACAAAGACAAAGTTTTTCATGGCAAATATTGTTTGGTATGATTTCCTTGCCAATGTACCAATTTTGGTGGACTTGGGGTATGCTGTCTGGCAACAGGGTATACCTTTACTTAGCTTGTACAGTCACATCTGTCTATAGCGACCGCCCAAGGGAAACACAAAAAGTGGTCTTTGTAGACAGGTTCCTTTGGTACATGTATCAAAGAGAAACCGTTTTCAAGGGAAACAAAAAATGTGGTCTTTGTAGACAGGTAGTCACTTCAGCAGGTTTGACTGTAGTACATGCCCATATCATTTGCTCAGAGCCAGAAGGGCTTTAATGCATATCATTTTAATAGCGCAGAGTTAATACCCTTTTGGCTCTTAACAGAAGGTATCTTCTTTCTGGGTCAAAAATGTCACTTTAATTAGTGGCATCCCAATATTTCACTGTACAATATAAAATATCCAAGCATATACATCTGAAATAAAATAAATAAATTAAATGAAATAAGTTGTGACGTTTAAAAACAGATTTAAATAAAAAATTTGAGCCCACAAACATATCTACCACCACCACCACCACTACCATCATTTCTACCACCACCACATACACTAGCATAACCATCACCAAAAACCATAATAGAATACAACCATCACCAAATGCAAACCAACGTCAACAAAATGGTATCCCATAGGCATAGGCATAGAGAGCATTAAATAAAGTTGCTATATGAGCAAATTTCTGAGAAATGTATGCAGCTGTGTTTTGTAGAGTGTGTTGTTAGTTAAAGGCAATGGAATTGAAAAAAAGAAGATAGGTATGCATTAGTTTGTAAATATGAAGTTTGAATAGCATGGTGTTGTAGTAGAAGTACATTTCTACATTTGATGTTCAAACTAATTTTTATCTAAACATTAATCTATGATTATGAAATAGAAGAATTAATGCTTATTTTATCACTACCACAATGGCGAAAATGCCAATTTGCAGAGCTATGCAAAGCCCATGACCAATCCAATTTAGTAAGAGGGGGTGCCACGTTAGCGTAGTGATCAGTGTTTGCATTACTGGGATATTTTTGAGAAGGATTATCATCCCACAGACAGAATTTCTGGTAAAAAGTATTGGCTTTCAAGTAAAAAGATCTAAAGAAAAACAATTCAGACAATTAAAATCGTGAATAAGTCTTTTTTTCAACAAGGATTATTAGTATTGCTTCTTTTCAGCTTTTATCAAATTGGTTGATACTTTCATTATTGTGCTCGAGCTATTATTAGCCATTATATGTTAAATAGTAATCTTAAAATCTACCAAATATCAAACTTGACACCAACACTATAAATAAAGACCAGCTTTCTTTTCAATTTTCATCAAATAATGGAAACTGAGAAACTATTACACTTAAACTGACATGGTTCGTATGGAATTAGTTTTCATATATGCATTGATTTGATTATAGCTGGGGAATGTTATATAGGAGAAATTAACTGTTAACATTACCAAATATGTGTGTGTGTGTGGGGGGGGGGGTCTATTACTTCGGAAGAAAGCTCTAAAAGCAAAGGTCAGGGAACTAGAGGTATGAGGGTTAGAGGGGTAGAAGTTGATTTTAATATTTTGTTTGCATTTGTCTTTCAGCATTGTCTGTTTCAACATTGCAAATGGAAAGCTAATGAAATGTATTAGGTCAGGATTGATGAACTTACCTGTTTCCTAACAGCATTTAATAGACCAGTGTACAAACGTATAGATAGAAGTCTCCATTACACTTAACCAAATAATATCATCTGCTATGGACTCTACCATGCCAAATTAGTGATTAATATACCAGGCAATCTGTGCAGTTTTTGGTCAATACATTAAACTTATGTGTAGGAAATACTTGAGTAAACTGGTCAATTAAATGTTGAATAGTGAAGCCGATATGCAAATTTTGTGAAATGATAAATGGAATGTCACATTTTTGTTTTTTTTGTTTGTATGAATTTGCTCTTTTGGCAGAGGCTAGATGATGTATTCCCAAATGTGCAAAAAAAGAAGAAACCGATTGGAATTTTCGTCTTCATAGCTTGAAATGAAAGCCAAAACTTTGTGCAAATGGTAAATTTATGTTAGATGATTGAAATAAAATAATAATAAATAAAAGATAAGAATAAATAAAATATTAAATGAAGTAGTGGATAAAGCAGACAGCAGGATAGAGCCCAATTACCAGAAACTAAAATAAACAAATAAACTCAAAATAAAGATCTAAATAAATGAGAAGGGAGGTGGTGGCAAAAAGAGAAAAGGTGTTTGCATTTTTCACTGAAATGAAGGCTGCAAGGAACTATTTGGAGAGGGGAAAGTGCTGGTTATGCACTAGAAGTCAAAGAATATTAAGGGGGGACGAAGGCAGCTGAAAGGGTTGTTTTGCTTGAATGGGGAAAATCACCTCTTTCTTTGTTGGACTGCTTCCATGGTGGGCAAGTTCTGTGGGTTTGTTGTGATCGGTGGCAGCGGTGGGATTGTCCTCAAGGTTGGTCGGTTTGGAGATGGCAATGACTAGCGGTTGGGGATTTGGTCCGTTCACCTGCTTGACGTCTGGAATCTGGACGGCTTTCCTGTCCCTTTGAACGTTCTGGAGCTGCATCTGCCGAAGCTTGGCATACTGGGCTTTGAGTTGTATTGTCCTGAGGTTCTCATCGTTCCCCGCAGATGCAGAGGGTTGATGCGTCTTTGGTCTCACAGCGGGGTCAGTCTCTCGTCGCTTGATTTCAACACTGGAGGGTGACGCCCGAGGCAACTGACCCGCTGAATCTGACTGAGTTCTCCTTGGGCCAGAAATGGACACAAACACCGGGCTTCGGACCGGCGAGGAATGAGTAGAATTGGGATCCTGGATGATCTGCTGCCGTTGGACGTTGTAGATGCCTTCTGGGGGATACATATCATTTTCAGGAGAACTGGACAGGCAAATGTTCTCTGCTGACTTGGCCATCCTACCCTGATTGGTCACTTGGCCTGACCGCTGGCCAGGCTTCTCAGGAATGGTAATCTGCTTGGCATTGTTATTAATATTATTCTCGCTGGCAGCAGTAACCAGAATTTTCTTTGCACGCGTGGTCGGAGAGTCCATGCAACCCCGAGGAGGCTTCGGAGGAGGCCCTACTTCACTTGGAGAGGGACTGTTTGCTTTTTGTGAACTATCTCCCTTCTCATGATCTCGCCTTAGAAGTCTTGCCAAGGCCCCGCCCATTTTCTTAGATTTTGATTTCACACTACTGTTACTACTACTACCCTGCTGCCCACTTTTGGATGGACTCCTACTGAGGAATGATCTTTTGGTATGTGACTTGTCCTTCCCTACCTTCCCATTGGAATGTGCCACACCCCCGTTCCCAACTGTGACCAGAGTCTGTGAATGGAATGATCCATTGATTTCTTTAGGGGTGGTGAATTCTGTTGCACCCAGGGACGGGGTTGACTTGGATGTCTCATGTGCTTTGGTTGTGCTTGTGATTGGAGGGGGATCCACCGCAGCGGTTACTGCGTTGATTAGACAGCCTGCGGAAGTGCTGGAGGCATTACTCAATGTCTTGTGTCCCCCAGCACCCCCGTCTCCTTCATCCCCCACCCTATCCTTCACAGCTTGAGACTCAGACTCAGGCTCAGGCATACTCTCAACCACTGCCTCAGACTCAGACTCAACCTTCCCCCCAACAACCACTTCCTCACTAGGCACCTTGGGCTGGCTGGTCGACGTCGAGCTCGACCACGAAATCTTCTTGTTGGCCTGCTCTGGAGATGCAGGCGATGCTGGGAAGTGCTTCCTGGGTGGCGGCGGGGGAGGGGGACCTTTCTTCTGCACCCCTGCAGCTTCTTTCTGGGCCTCCCTCTTAGCGGCCTTCTCCGGCGTGATGATCGGCGTCATTGAGTCGTGGTTTTCTTGATCAAAGAGCTCACGCAGGTAGTTGCGCTGGCGGGTCTGATTGGCCTCCACGTTGTTCGTTCGGCGCAAATCCTCTCTCTTTCCGGAGAGCGTATGCTCAAATTGATCCTGCTCCATGGGTGACCTGAATCGGTGGGGCAGGTCATGGCGTACATTATCATCCTGTGCAGGAATTACAAGTGTTAGTGGAAAAGATTATAGAGAGGCCACATAAATCCAGCAAATTTGTAGAGACCCTGTTATCCTGCATAAATGAATTAGCATTTAGTTTCAGAATAAAACTTCGGTAGTAAAGAATGTTTTGCATGATGCCATGGTACATATGCAACGATGAGTTAAACTAATTGTTAATATATATCATTAAAAATTCCACAAGTAATGATAAAGTTTTCACTAAACCACTGTTTATGAAAAACATCTTACTTACAAAATATAACACAATACATTTTACATTACAATATCAAAACAAGGCAATAATAGATATAAGAACATATAGTGCAAGTTCCGTAATAGCAGGACAAGATACTAATCACCAATTACTTTTATTTAATGGCTGTGCAAAGTTAGGATATATTGAACAAGAAAAGGCATAGATGCAGATTGCAGGTAACAAAGATCCCCTGGATGTGTTCAATCTACAAAATATGGGATTCTATACAAATACTTGATACCAATAATTTGAAGAAAAGAAATCAAACAGATGGGGATTTGTGGTAAATTTGTTTTTTATGAAGCATAAATGTAAAAGCAATTCATTGTGCAAAAGTTACTTTTATGTGATTTAAAAAAATATATTAACATGTGTAAATATTTCTTTGTTTTAAAGAGATAATGAGATAAGTCATACAGAATTGCCAGCTTTCTATTTTACATGGTTTATATATACATGTGTAAATATCAGTTATAGTGCAAAAGTAATTTTTGTGATTTATTAAATATAAAGACATGTTGATATTTCTTGATTTTAAGGATATATATGTACATGTAGGTCAATCTTCACAGGCATAAAGCATTGTCAGTTTTGAAATAACAAGGCTTACATCACATGTAAATGACTAAATCTAAATGTAACGTATGGTGCAAATGTAATTGCTGGTAAAGAGATGACTGTTGGAATATACTCAATGTAATGGATGTGCATGCTTAAAGATGGAATAAATAATAATAATAATAATAATAATAATAATAATTCATTCATAGAGCGCAGAAACTCTCCAACATTAAGTATATATTCTACAAATTATCTTGGGAACTGCGCAAGTTGCGATTGTGTTGATAAAATAAGACGGTGGCTTACTTGATAACTTTCCACTGTTTCTCGTTTGGCCTCTGATGATGTTGGGAGGGGGGCACTTTCAACCCGAACCACCTGTCTGCTTGCGGTCACCGTGGGGGTGATGGTGGGGGCGATGGTAGGAGAGGAGGGGGACACGACGTAAGGCTCGTCGTTTGTAGCTGCCATCCTGAAAAAGGTGGAGAGTATAATGACAGGATTAGGGGGGATAAGAATTTGATTGAATCACAACAATATGTGAAAGGGTGTTTAATAACTACAAGTTAATGATTTATTTTGTTAAATGTTGAGAATTTCATTGAATATTATTCTAGAGTGTACATCTCTTTCAATCCATTTCATGCTTTCATTCATTTTAATAGAGATCTGGCCAAGATCTATTACTTCATACTTCATCATTCTATCTATCTATCTATCCATCCATCAATCTACCCATTCATTCATTCATCCATCTATCTATCCTCTACCCACTTTTCTATCCATCAATTTATCCATCCATCCACTCACCTATCCAGTTATTTATCCATCCATCTATTCACCCACCCATCCATCACCTAATCCAAATGTTTACCTGTATCTGTCCATCCAGCCAAGTATCCATCTGCCTACTCATAAATTCCTCCCTCCCTTCCTCTCTTTATCTTGTCAGCTGATTCTTCTATCTACCTTTCCATCCATCCACCCATTTATCCCTCCATCTTTCTATCTATCCATCCATCTATTCATCCCTTCATCTATCTATCTTCATCATTCATTCCTCCCCTCTTTTTTTTCTTGACCCCTCGCTTCCTCTCTTTAACTTGTCAGCTGATTCTTCTATCTATCTATCCTTCCACACGTCCATCTATCAATCATACTACCATCCTACCTCTTGAGTGTGTAGAGAGTACTAGTGATCTTTTTACATCTCTTGAAATGATCATCCAACCTCTGGGGCTCATGTTTCATCCAACTGCAAGAAATCAATTTAAATCAAACCAACTTAAAAATGTAATATTCATTAAAAACATCTAACTTGTAAAAATCAAGCAGACTGCATTTAAAACAAGCGTTACATTTGGACCACAACTCACATTGCATTGTCCTTTCTATGCCTACTTCCCAGAAAGTATTAAAGCCGCATAATATGAATTGTTTACAATATTTTTTTTTATTTTCAGCAAACACTCTCCTCAGGTAATAAGTTCTCTTTATTTTGGAAGAGTGATATGTGTACACTATATTTAACATATTAATATTTGGAAGAAATTCAAATAAAGATAAAAGATATATGATCAAAAGTGCATTGTCATTGATTACGAAATCAATTAAAATCAATTTAAAAAAAAATGATGTTTTCAGCCATTATTCTGTTTTTCAGCTTGACAAATTTTCTCTTAAAAAAATACAAATATCTGTTTCATTTGTAGGCACTACCAGGACTTTATCTTTTTGTTCTCTCTTTTAACCATTTTGAACCACTTTCAATAGCACACCTATGATTTTCTCTTGATAGGAAGTTCAAGTCTAAGAAATCTATATTTAAACAAAAATGTTCTCATATCATCAGTTGCCTTTTTCTGTCCAATCTTTGTGTTATGGGACACTTTCAAACTCAAATTTGGGGCACATTTTTTTCTTTTAAGTAAGAAAGTATGCTACATTGGGTTTTTTGGGGGAGGGGCATGTGCCCCTGTGACCCCCTGGACATGCCACTGACTAAAGACTAGATAATGACTTACTTCTCCTCTCTGACTACTACCTCCATCTCCCCTTCCTGAACAGTCTTCAGTTTCTCAGACAGAACCGGGAAATTCACTAAGAAAGGAAATAAAAAATAATACAGGTACAACAAATTAAAAGAGAAGAAATTACTCCAGCTGCGTCTGTGGGTGGGAGAGTTACACACTTGAGCTACCCTTTGGTACGCTGGAAAAGGTGCATTTGAATCTCTTCTTCCTGGCTGAAAATGATGGGTTTTTTCTTCTTCAATGTTACTTGTTGCTAATAGGTCAAAGATTTTAATCATTACTTATCTTTAAAGGGATTGGGTATCTTTGTCTCAGATTCTAAAAAAAATTCTGGATTTAGCTCATGCTGCAATCATGATTATAAACCTTTAGGTCAGTCAGGAATCCTGATCGCCTGTCTGATTATCAAGATATTTATGATTGGAATTTCAAATCTCAAAAATTGTATGGTATGGTTAAACCGGTCACTCAAAGATTTTTACTTTTTTTTGAGGCACTTCATGATCAGTTTGAAGCGCAGTTTTTTTAGGGCTTCAATATTACACCATATCACAGACACTGATAACACGTAGGGCCGTGCATCTCAGATTTAACATTGTTAAACGATGACTTTAAGTTAGAGTCTCTCAAGGGAGTGGCTAGGTTATAGATGATTGCCATGATTATCATTACCTTTCTGTTCAGCAATACCCCTGCTGCAGTTGCCCAGCACCTGAGCTTGTTGCTCCAGGCTGTCCATATCAACGCTGCCCCTGTTGTTGATCGTCTTCTCTCGAAGCTTGTCCACATTCTCATCCAGTATTCTGAAAGTCATATACAGAATTCAGTTAAAATCTAAAAACCTGAAGTTTTTATTTGAATTAAAGATAAGCTTGAGTTCTGGTAATTGATAGAAAATAAGTTCTCGCAAAATCCAATAAAATTTACATTGATTATTCAAGATTACAAATAAATTACATGTGCCAAACGATTTTGGTAGAAAATGTATAGGGGCTGAGTATAATGAGCATAGAAACATAAGGAAATCAAAGTAAGAAATAGATGGTTGTGCTAAATTCCAATTGATCACAACTTGATACCAATCGCAACTCTGTACTACAGAGATAGGAGTTTGAAAGTTTGAAATTGAATGTAGGACTTGTAATCGATCTGGATCAACTGCAACTCTATAAAAACCGGTTCGCAATATGATAAAATGGGAGTTTGTGAATCGTTCGTTTCTCACCTCAGATCCCTTTCAATCATCTCCTGTGTCTGCAAGTACTTGATGTATTCTTGATGTACTCTAGCTCGCTGGTTCCTGATTGGATGACTATCGGTACCTGGGGCGCCCTCTAAGGCCAGGCGGATCTTGTGGGAGGTCGAGCGGAAGTTGTTGTTAACCTGTTGTACCTGTGGAAAGCAACATTTTAGAGAAGTTTGACGAAGAAACAAGTTGGTCTATATAAGTAGGGGAAAAAAGTGTTACGTAGGCCTTTGTTCCATCAAACACTACAGGAAAGCAGGGCATTCTTTTTTCATAACATTTCAAGTCATAAAGAATCTTCAAAAATAAAGTCAAACCTGTTTTAGTGACCACCTGTCTACAAAGACCACATATGTTGTTTCCCTTGAAAATGGTTTCTCATTGAAACATGCACTGAAGGAACCTGTCTACAAAAACCACCTGTCTACAAAGACCACATATTTTGTTTCCCTTGAAAATGGTTTCTCATTGAAACATGCACTGAAGGAACCTGTCTACAAAAACCACCTGTCTTCAAAGACCACTTTTTGCGTTTCCCTTGGGCAGTCAATATAGACAGGTTTGACCGTTTCTCTTTCAATCAATGACAATTTTGAATAGTTTTATTAGACTTTTCAAATTTCAATTTCGGTCAATGTGTGCCTGAAAGTTTTGGTCATATTTTTCAATTTTTAAAAGTTATGTATTGAAAAGATACATACATGTACATAATATAGACAAGGATAACTAGAGCTGTTGCCAAATACAACAGACTGAAATGTGTTTTGTAGATGTAGTAAAAGAAAGGTTAAAAAAAAATTGTTTTACGAATTTCTAGAAAAGTTTAAATTCGTCTAGTCCATAAAACCATTTGTGTTGTGGTCGAGTGAATACGTCACCAGACTGCCGATCACAAGACCCACGGCTCGAGTCCCGTTGCGGCACTAATGTCCTTTGGCAAGACATTGATCTACATTTGCCACACTCAACCCAGGTGAGGTGAATGGGTACCTGGTAGGATTATTCCCTGAAATGCACCGTGCACTGATAATGGCTGCTGGAGCTAAAGCTAGGGTAATAATTTCCAAAGCGCATAGAAATGTTATTTCATAACGTATAATGCGCTATACAAGAACTGAATATTATTATTATTAATCTAGTGGGCACATGCGAGACATATTCACTTACCATATTCAGATGCATTTTCCTGATCTGTTTGAGTTGCATTCTGAGGTCTGTCGTGCGGTGTTTCAGCACCATGGCGCAACGCTGGACGTTCACGCCCCCTGGGTGCACACCGGGTCTACCGGTCACGCCCGTACCGGGGTGCGAGGAGGGTCTGGGGGACTGGGGGCCGGGGGGTCTGGCGGGGGACTGGGGGCCAGGGGGTCTGGCGGGTGGCTGCTGGGGGACGGGGGTTCTCGATTGCGGTGGTGGTTGTTGTTGTTGTTGTTGTTGCTGGGGAGTAGGGGTTCTGGCTTGCACTTGGGCAGAGTCTATGGAGGGGTTGCAAAATGAGACAACAAAAACAATAAGATAACGAAACAGACAACAAAAAAACTAATAAAATGGAAAAGAGTAGAATCATAAAGGAAATGAATAATAATGATACCGATAAATATGATGGCAAGATGCAGAGAAAGAGAATATTACTTGAATACTTAAATGCATCAAAAATCTTTGATTATGTGTATTTGTCTGTCCTTTTTTCCACTTTCGTGCCAATTTTCTATAAAAAACCATATCAATAAATAATAATCATAATACAGACTAAATACACACACATGTACATTTGTTTGAATATATGTAAAATTCATTACACTCATTTTAATTTGATTCTTACTATCCTATTGAATATGCTGTGGCCAAATGTGCAATTATTCTAACAATGTTGCCAATTTGTGACAAATATTCTTTAATAATAGGATCCTCTACGCACCTGTCCTCATCGGCGGGGTGGGGCGATCATTCGGCGGTCTTTGGGCGGCTTCCTGAAAAACGTATCAAACAAATTTTACATGTTAACAGTAGGATTTAACATTATAGGTACTATTTACCGAGTAGACAAGGTAGTGAGAATTACAGTGAAAGTTGCTCTTGTGACCACCTGTATAGAAAGACCATGTGTAGTTGAATTGTACATTGATTAGAAAAGAAAAAAAAAATGTTGCAAAGGAAAACTTGACTGATTCTCAATAAGAATATCTTGTTTACAGAATTTTGTTAAAGGCATCGTTTAACAATGTCAAATCTGAGATGCATTGCCCAACGTGTTATCAGTGTCTGTGTATGGTGTGATGAGCCCTAAAAAAATTGCGCTTCAAAATGATCACGAAGTGCCTCAAAAAAGTAAAAAAAACTTTGAGTGACCGGTTTTACCATACTTATTTTCCCCAATAGACTGTAGTGTTATGAAAACCGTTTGGCAAATGCAAAATTTGATTTTGATTTTCAATCATAAATATCTTGATAATTAGACAGGTAATCAGCTTGCAAAAGTCATGGGATTCCTGACTGACCGAAAAGTTTATAATAATTATTGCAGCATGAGCTAAATACAGGATTTTGTTTCAGAATCTGAGACAAAGATACCCAATCCCTTTAACATAATATCATAGTTAACGCATGTAAGTCGACTGTGAAATGACTGAGTGGGGTCTCACCTGTTGAGGGCGCCCTTGTCTAGGTGCACCATTGTGCGTCCCGATGACAGAACGAACCATGCCGGCAAGATTGGCTATCTGCTGCTCCATTGCAGAGATCCTTTCGCTATAAAAGGGTCAAAGGTCAAAGATTAAAGGTCAAGTGATGAAAGGTCGACCGCACTTAATCATACATATGCAAATATAACATTTACCATATGTATGCTATTTATCAATCATATAAGGGTTTAACAAATTGCAATGAAGATGACATTACGTGTACATGACCAAAACAAGGAATATGCAATGAAATTATGAAATGATGAAATATACAGTAGACATGCTAATAGAAATGATATGGGGAATAACAAGACCAATAAGGGTGAAAATGTCATTATTATTAACATCATATATAATAATAATAATAAATAAAAAAAATATTAACAGCAGAAGATGTAGACAGGGTGACAACGCAATGGTTTTGTTTAGACAAATATTACGTCCTCCACAATAAAAAAGGTTTTATAACACAATATGATAACGATATTTGTTCTGAAATGAAAAACAATATGTATTAATAGCTATAAGATCAACACATTCTGACAAAATTACAAGAATCCAAGAGCCGCTTAACCTAATGTTCATGTAATCATTATCAGTCCTTTTTTCATTTTGGTAGCAATCATTTCTCAAAACGCAAAAAAAAACAACTTTGAGCTCTGAAAGTTCTGCAGTTTACATGCCACAAAGTTTACAAGCAAGCAGTGCGCAATATATTTTTACGATGGCCTTCGTTTGGAAACAAATGTTTCCACCCAAATTACAACTCTTCGACCTTTTCAAATATATTAATTAAATGTGGCATGAAGGCCTTGTTCACATTCTGTGAATGGTGGGTTGGTAGGCAGTTAACTCATACTGATAGTTGTAAATATGTCAGTTTTTATACTATGTTCCCCTCATATTTTTGTGCATTGTTTTATATATCTACATGTAAATATGTTATATGGACCTCTGCTCTTGCAGCTGAGTCTGGAAAAAAGTCTTGAATTGAATTGAATTGAATGATATACAAAGAACATTTTAAAGTTTTGTATTTTTACATGGCAAATTTAAGCTTACAGTTCAAACTGTAGCCCTTGATGATTTGAGACTATACTGTATACTCGTTGACTTTGTCCGAGTCATACAGTAACACAGCTTTTGGATTGCCTAAACAATTAATTTAACCATGCATGTCCCTAAAAGCAGTAAGATTTGTCTGTTGAGAGCCAGAAGGGTGTTAACTCTGTGTTAAATTATATGAGTTAACGCAGTTCTTGCTCTCAAGTAGACAATTTGTATTCTATCATCCATGTAGGGGACTTCCCGCACCTGCCATACCAACAAGTCCCTACTGCCACACCCACAGTGCCACGCCCATTGTGCCATGCCCACAGTGCCACCCCCACAGTGCCACCACCACAGTGCCACCCCACACTGCCATGCCCATTGTACCTCACCCCCTGTGCATTCTACCTACCTGGTCCCTTCTTCCCCTGGCCCTGGTTGCGGTCTCTGGGCCGGGCCCATACGGGGGGCCGGTTGCGAGAACGGCCGCTGGGCGCCGGGATGGACGCCTGGTCTCGGTCCCACAGCGCCATCTACCGTTGGTGCGCTTTGAGGTCTGGGGATAGTTAGTGAACACAACGCAGAAGCGATTTGACTTACGAGCATGCCAGCAACTATCAATCAAGACTTAATTACATGTACAGTTTAACAAAAAAATTATTCATACCCTTACCAAGTTTTGTAATTTGAAAGTGTGCATAAAATTGATTTGTCCTAATTTCTGTTTCTTAAGAATGTGGCACATTAATGCTTACATATGAAAGTATTCAACAAAGGACCTAAATCAACTAGTCCACCTTTCATTCTTGAGTTACAAGAGACACAAAGAACTTGAAATTTACAAGGGGTATGAATAATTTAGTTGTTAACTGTACATACTTTTACACAGAAGCATTCAAATATTAGTGTTAATACATAGAAAACTCAACATTTTCAAACAAATGAACAAAGAGATACATGTATTTTACTTTTCACTTCATATTTCATCAGCTAAACATACCTCTATCTTATATCAGATATGCATTCATTAAATCTTAAGCATTGTAAATTCATATTTGTCACCTTATACATGTGAGTAAATGTGGTCATTATGAATTGTTTTCTTTTAAAATGGTTTGTTATTACTAATTTTATCAGTAGAGATAGCATTCTCTTTAAAAAAATATTTAAAAAATAAAGCAGAATATTTTCCTCAAGTACCACTGTAGCCAGCTTGACAAACCATTCCATTTTCTGACATAGCAACATATAGCGCATGCAAGCAGCAATAGTTTAAACTTAGGAAAGCACTTTTTCTTGTAATGTCCACCATAAGACCATGTACACATTTGGGCACTTTATTCTGCTAGGCACACACTGTATTGTAGCAATTTTTTTTATTTTTCAGTATTTTCAGTTCCAAGACATTGGGCTACATGCATAGATAGTACCAAAATGCTAGTGCTAGCCTTTTGCTTGAATCCATATGCATTCAAATAAGCAATTGCTTGCAATTTTACTTCGTGAGTCTTGTGACGAGACTAATTGAGAGCCCACTCCGCCCATGTGTACTCATTATCGCTCTGTTGCTGTTTTGAAAGAGTAACTCTTTCATGCATTCATGAAAATTTGTGAAATATCAATGCTTTAATGTTCTCCAGGAATTTTGTGTTTTCTGCGAAATGCTTCAATAAACTGTAAATTTATTACGTTTGTTTCCTCAAGGAACATATTCATAGCTTTCCGGTCCTTTTTGGAGAAATTATCTACAATTTCGTCATGGCCTCGGCCCCTCCAAAAAATGCAGCAAAAATCAAAGGAAAAATCAAGACCCATTACCATCAAACCGTGAACAAAAACCTTCAAAAACAATTGCAACCCTATATTGCGTGTCTTTGAAGAGAAAAAGCCCCCAGCAAATAAACCAGCCACAAATATTTCAAATAAACACAAATATTCCCTTCCACCTACCTGCCATGGCTGAAAGTTCCATCATGACTGCCGTGTCTCCGTAGAGGGGGCTGTCCGCGATGCTGGGGGCCCATTCCATTGGGGATGGGTTGCCTCATCCCCGGTGCCCCGTTCCTGGGGAGGGTAGCGTGCTGACCCCCTAGAGGTCGACCTGGAGGGGTCTGGTCCCGGTGGTGCTGGGGTGGGGCGCCTCGCTGTCTGGGGTGACCGTTGGGCATAGGGGCAGACATGACCTGGTTCTGCATCACTTTTGTCACTGAAAGTTATAAGAAAATGGAATATGAACAAATTTTGGTTTTTAGATATTATAATATACAAAACAAAAGGTGTAAATTTGGTGGTGTTAAATAATGATACATGTGTAGTCATGGCAGGTCATTCTAGCCAAACATTCAAAACACAAATGGTTCAGATAAAGTCAGTAAAATGAGTTTGAAAGGCTAAAATCAGTTTGAAGAGCAGATTTAAAATAGAAATTTAGCATTTGTTATCGATAACAATTTTGATGAAACTTTTAAAAGATTTATCAATACAAACTGATCATGAAATTATCATTGAAATGGATAAATAATCATTTATACCCACATGCACATTGGGGATACTTGTAATGTCTACTCTATCCTGTCATCATTACCATTGATTAGATTTATATTTGGACCCTGTTTCATAAAACTGGTTATCAATAACAAGTTACAATAACTATCATAAGCTACTGAAATTGTGGCATTTGATCAGCTGAGAGCAGATTTGTAATAGATATTTAGCATTTGTTATTGATAACAAGTTTGATGAAACAGGGGCCTGATTGACTTGAAAAGAATAACCTACCTGGGGTACTATTCTGGCTCCTTGATACCATATCCGCGCTAGACGGTCTACTACCCGGCCTACTGCCTCCATCCACCACCGCCTGGCCGCCCCTCTGGTGCTGACGTGGCATGGTCGAGCTCCCTCCCTGGGGTCTGGGGCCCATCCCAGGCCCAGGCCCACCCTCATGCCCCGAGGGAGGGGGCATCCTCCGTGGCATGGTGGAGCTCCCCCCATGCTGCTGGGGCTGGTTGCCGGGGTAGGGTTGCCCCCGCCTTCCGTAGGGGCCCTGGTGGGGGTGGGGTCCACCGGGCCCTCCCCTGCTGACTGGACCACCCAGGGTGGCTCTCTCAGGGGTGAGGCGCTGGAAGGCTTGGGTATGGGCTGCAGGGCGCTGGAGGCTCGCACTGGAACGTTCAGGTACCCCACGCCGGAAATTCTCCTGTTAGGGTGGAGACAAGATAATTTTTTGTTTTATAAAAGAAATGTACATGTTGGTCGTATCTCTTTCAAACGTTTGAAAAATATCATACTGGGAACAAATCTATCTTCATTTAATGTAATTGATTTTTTGAAAAATTACACAAAAACTCCTGAGATTTCATCTACAATTGAATATTTAAAAAAAAATTCTCTCTATTTGTTATCCTTGACTTAAATCTTACTGCTTTTCATACTGAGGGATAATTCATTTGTGAGGGCTAATAAAATCTTCAATGTATGAAGTAACTTCCATTTCTATAATGCTTCACACGTTGTTTATTATTACATGTAACTCAGATCTTGGGGCACTGTATTTGATTTCTTACATCGGTTCTGTCACTCATGCATGGTTGCTAAACCCTTAGTTCACATCCAAACATCAACTCCAGCTTCTTTAATTCAATTTCAAGGTTTATTAACATGAATCTTTGCAGAAATAGAAATTAGAGTACAGAATTACAGTTGAAATTCTAGTTAAAATAATTTGATATAGATTCATAGCAATATATGTTTAGAGTATATTAATCAGTTTAATCAATTACTCTATATGATCAGTATATACTCATTAATTCAGGGATAAACATATCCTTTTGCCTTACCATTGACTGAGATTGTTTCTTCTCTGGTGATGGGTTGAGGCTCCCTCCGGCCGGAGCCGGTTTGGCGCCCTCGCCCTCCTGCGTCTGCATGAAGTGCATGTTACGTGGCAACGTCATGGTGTTGTAGCGGTTCTTCCTGACGTCCCTCTTCTGATGGTCCACCTCTGGTTCAGAGTAGTAGTCCAGCTCCACGGGGGTGGAGGTGGTGCTACGAGGGGACGATGGGCCCGGGGCGTTGGGGTCCTCCACGAATCCAGGCTCGTAGATCTTCAGGACTGACCTGTCCATTATTTCACTGAATACATACAGAAATCGATGGTTATTGGTTACCTATAAAAAACTCCAAAATAGCTTTAATTCTTTACGGTTCTTGGTCGACTAGAGGCTCTTTCATATATGACAGGGTAACCTTTTCTTAAAAAACGTAAATAAATGGCAACTGCATCGAACGAAGGTCCTTAAGACGTATTCACTGATCTCTGTGTTATAAGATACAGAAATATGAAGCCTATTTCACTTTACCTCATTAAAAAAAACGTCATGGTTTTACCGCATCATATCTTAACGAGGCCTAATGAAACATACAGCGGACTGCTACAGTTGACTTTTGTCACGCACGAGAATTCAAAACAATTAGGCAGTCTGGGCTTGTGATCAATAGCAAGCCATGAGTTAAAAACATGCTTTTTGTCTTGCAATCATCAGAGTAAAACGCAAGAATGAACATAAAGCCATCATCGAGCAATACATTATTTGGGAACTTGAGGACAAACCACACAATAAAGTTAATAAACTCTTATTGGCTGCTTTAGATAACAAATGCTATAACCTTGGTTACCAGACATTTTACAAGGCTTTAAAAAGCTAATGGATAAAATATATGAAGTCTTTTGACAAACTCTTTTTTGTTGACAGAATAGCTTTCACTTCCAGCCTTTCTGATGTTGTGTATCTCAATATCTATATTGTAGGGTAGGAACCTTCCATTAAGGTAAAACAAATATAAATGAATAAAATCAGAAAAAAATTGTGCTGTGACTGTCATCTCAGAGAATCCACAATTTCGATCTGAGCCTCCGAATGCATTGTCAATTTGATTATTATTTTAATTTTCAATTAAAAATATATTCAATATCTAATCTAAATATTGCTTTTGAGCGGAACCTACTTGGAATCCTCCAGCTCGTAGAATATTTCCGTTGCTGGATCCTTGATGTAGATCTTTCTGACCGGCTTCTCTAGCATCTCCATGTTGAGCTGCTTGGGGAAAGCACGGACGTATAGCGCCCTCACGGTGTCGATGCCGGTCACCTCGTTCGGCATGAGCCCTCGCTTGGTTTCGTTCTTGTACTGGAGGTAGACGAGACCTGGGGCAATGAAAAAGAATCATTTAATTGTTTGTCCTGGTATTAGATATTTAATGTCTAATTCAATTCAGCCAATACAGAAAACCCAAAATTGGACTGTGCAGTTTCATTTTCATACATTACAGGGTAAGGGTCATTATACCATTAGCAACCAGAGATTTTGTAAAAAATGGCTCATTGGAAGATGTAGCAATATTCCTCTCATTTTGTCATTAATTGTTCTGAACATTATGAAACATGCGCTATTTTTCTATGCAGAACCCTACTGTAGACATCGTGAGGATAAGGCACTATAATATCATCACGGTAGCCCCCATAGAAGGATACTACAGCACGTTGAAAACGAACAAAAATGGACAGGCGGTTTCGGGCGGTTCAGTGAGTAAAAGGAGGGGCAAATTCGGGCAGTTTAGTTGCTATAGGGTTAATGTGGTTGGGTATTTACCTAATGGTCTTTCCTAGGTCATACAAGTATTGACCGTTGGTCGGATGAATGGCATACTGAATCTTAACAGTCCAGTGTCCACCATCCTGTTAGGGTTAGTATTAGGGGGAGAATCAGAGTTAGGGTCAGGGTAAGGGCTACTTTTATGGTTGGGGCCTTCAGTGTTCATTCCAATTGTCCCTTACCCAATGGTCTCTCCTTGGTCATGTTGACCGTTGGTCTGATGACCGGCATACTGGACCTCAATCGTCCACCTCTAGAGAATCCCGTAGCTTCTGTGTTGATCTCGGACATGGTGTCCATGTTGTCCATGTTATCAAGGTCTGTCTCACAGAATACACCATTGACGGGTGCCTGGAAGAACAAAAAAATACATAAATCAAATTAATGAAATAGAATGCCGGTAAACCTAGATTGCAAAGTTTAATTCTTGAGGTCCAAAGAAATATAATAGAAAAATATAGTTATTACAAGAGAGAAAGAAGTAGGGCTTCTTCATCTGCAGCACCCTTGTCTTTGTAATAATTTACCATTTAATTTAAGAATCATAACTACCTTAGAGACCTTTAAATCCAAGCTGAAATACCTGTAGGCCTACTTGGCACTATGACACTCATCCAAACGTTCTCATTCTTTCTATTTTTCTTGTGCGCCTCGGAATAGCATTGTCTAGATAGACGGCGCTACACAAATGCCTATTATTATTATGGCTTTAAATCAATATATGATGTGAAAATAAAATTCTGAAAATTGTCTGGATCTGTGTATGCATACATGACAATAAACTTGTACTGTCACTGCTATGCCTAGTAACTGATACTGTAGTAGATATAGATGTAGGCGATAATCAAATGTATCATAGAAATGAACATCTCCAGAGGCGGTACGCTATACATGCAGCCTTGAGAGGCTAGATGAATATATTCCTAATCACATGTTATTTTTGTGTCAATATGATATTAAAACAATTTGAGAGAGGAGAGAAGAGAAAAGAGAAGAGAAAAGAGAAGAGAAGAGGAGAGAAAAGAGAGAGAGAGAGAGAGAAAGAGAGAGAAAAGAGAAAAGAGAGAAGAGAAAAGAGAGAGAAGATGGGAGAGAGAGAGAGAGAAGAAAGAGAGAGGAGATGAAAGGAGAGAAGAAAGAAAGAGAAGAATAGAGAGAAGAAAGATGACAGGAGAGAAGAGAGAGAGAGAGAAAAGAAGAATTGAGAGAAGAAAGAGAAAGAAGGAAATAGGAGAGGAATAAAGAGAAGAGATCAAGGTAAGGAGGGGGATGGGGAGGAAAGAGAGGAAGAGGAGCGAGGAAAAAAAAGGAGGGAGGGAGGAAGAGGGGGAAAGAAAGAGACAGACAGAGAGAGAGAGAGAGAGAGAGAGAGAGGAAGAAGGGGGAAAGACAGAGACAGACAGACAGACAGAGAGAGAGAGGAAGAGGGGGAAGAAAGAGAGAGAAGGGGTGTGAGAGAGTAAGAGAGAGGGTGGAGAGAGAGAGAGGGGGGAAAGAAAGAGAGAGAGAGGGGGGAGAGAAAGAGAGAGAGAGGGGGGAGAGAAAGAGAGAGAGAGGGGGGGGGGGGAATTGGGGAAGAAAGAGAGAGAGAGAGAGAGAGAGAGAGGGGGGGGGGGGAAGAGAGGAAGAGAATAGAGAACATTGTGCTTCTTTGAGGTCAAGCTAAGTTCACTCATGGAATTGTTCTCTGGTTGCTATAGTAACCCACCTACACGAACATGGACAATCAGTAAATGGACAGACTGCTCCAATACGCCGTAACCACAATTTTCTCAATTTGTCGCATTTGGCTCCAAATAATTTCCAGCTTCCATAATTGCATGCACATGTACACGTACAAGAGTATCATATTTGCATCCACTAATCTTAGCAAAGCATTGTTAAAGTCACGTATGAGATTATGCCTTCACAGCAGTTACAGTCCAACTCCAACATAGTCGCAAATGGGAAAAGACACACAAAAAATACATACAAAACCTAAGAGGACAAATCATCCACAAATTAATTTGCAAATTATTAGAAGAAGGTCTTCCCCTTAAACTTATATCGATAAGGAATCAATCAAATGGTGAACAGTTAAAGGACATTATAAAAGGGAAAAGACGAATCTCTTCAAAGACTTGTATGAAAATACTTTTGTGCAAATAAAATTTCATGGGAATCCATTGACTGGTCTAATCACAAATTATTTCCATCTGTATTTTAGAGAGTGCGATTTGGCAATTTAAAATTGAAAGTCCTCTTCGCAGATCAGATATGATATTTGTAATTTTTCACAGCTGTTATTTTGATAATAAGATACATCATGGAACCCCAAACAGAGAGAGTTTGGTCATGTCTCCGCTAGGTCTAACGCAAAGATGGCCCAATATTTTAGGGATTTGAAAGATAATAACAAGAAACACCAGTCCTCCCCCATATCTTCCTGACCCTGAACTTCAACCTACATGTGTAACTTCCTTTAGAAGGAGGATGGTCGAACTGTTTTTTGGGTACTCATAATTTGAAAAGATGTGTCCTAAAGAAAGCTATCTTTGAGCTGCTTCAAAATGTACTATTATTATATAACTATATAATGTATTATTATTACTATTAAGATCATAAACATCAGCATTTCAGTGTGTTGATCATAAAAACCCTCCAGCACCACAAATGTGTATATTCTGTTCTCTCCTGATCTCATCATATTCATCTTCATCAATGGTAATACCACTATTAAAATAACTTTAGTTGATATATGCTATTGATGACATGAATGTACTCTTATTCACAGCTCTAAACACATTTAAAGGATATTCCACAGCCACGTATTACATTACAAAGACACTCGGGGGGGGGGGGGGGTTTCTTTCTTCATTCTTTCTTCACAATATTATCATTGTCATCATCGTCATCAATGATAATACCAAATTAACAATATTAAAATCACTTCAGTTCATATATGCTATGAATGGCTGAATGTACTCTTATTCACAGCTCTAAACACATTTGAAGGATATTACACAGCCACTATCACATTACAAAGGCATTCATGTTTCTCTCTTCATTCTTTCTTCACAAAAACACAAAAAGAAGTTGATATTTTCATTAAACTCACTTAGCCATTCCACTACCATCAAACCGTCATCTTCTCTTCAGTCAACAATGCAACGACATATCAAAATATTATTACAAAGACTAATATAACGCATAGGAGAGCTATCTTGTGATAACAGTGCACTCTCTATACACCTCTTCCGGACAGTGTCGACATGCATTGATATGGATATTGATTTTATCTTTATTTCAAAGATCTTTTCATGGCCAGCTTACTGTATATGCATGGTATTTGGAGTATGAAGGCTTTGTAGACTGTGGGGGTGGGGCGGTACGAGGAGAGGTGAATGACACGTTTTAAACACCTTTCCTTGTACTGATGATCACGTCTTTACAGATACCTGACCACAAACCTTGAGTCAAGAGGGGAGGGCATGGCTACTCTGCAAGTTTGCCTTTTGTTATATAAAATAAAACTAGATGGGATTAAAGTAAATCTAGATGAATGTATTTTGTTATGAGAGTAAATATAGATGGGCTTCTAAACATAGGGCAGGGAGAGTCCAAGGTATTGGGTCATTCAGTATAGGGGCTTTCACACCTACAGAAAAAATTTAAAAATTGATTTTGAAAATCTATCCAAATTTTTTTTTTTTTGCGTGTGTGGACAGAATGATTTTACTAATTTCTGTGATTCGCACCGTGATCCAATTCGCATTAAGTCTTGCGATTTTCAAAATAATTGTGATAGTTTGCCGGGTGCTGTGTGTGTAAAGAAGAAGAATTTCTACCTAAGTATATCCTCTATGACATAGAGAACATGGAATGAATCTCAATCAAATAATGCCATGCTGGATTCCGTCAGGCAATTCTAGTCACTATCTGTGCAAGTGTGCATCAATGCTTTCATCACAATTTAATATGCCATGCCCAGCTCCTCTTTGTCAGGGTTTTTGATGAGATCACACGCGAGAGGTGACTATGCGTGAAGTCTACAACTTCCTTTCTGCAGATTCTATCTTTCTTTTTAAAAAGCCTGATGGAGACACAAACCTTTTGGAGACTTGCCATAAAACAAACAAAATTTCATTACTTTTAAAGTATTAAGGATGTGAGCTTTTCAAGAATGATATCTTCCATAATATTCTTCACATTTCATGGCAGTATTTTCAGAGCATATTTGACAAATGCCCATTTACATGTGGTTTGTAACTTTGTATTCCAGCCGGCATATTTGAATTTCAGCATTACACAATTTCCTTTTCTTTTGTAACATGTATGTAAGTTCGCTCTTTCATCAGCTATTAAATAAACTGAAAACATAATTTAAATAAACATACTTTAATCTACTGTTGTCCTCTAAGTTTGACGAAATGAACCAAAGTGGCAGGAATTTAATTTTATAATAATAATAATATTGGATATTGTTATAATGCACGACACCTCTACATTCTAATGTAATTTGTCCCTTCAAAACAGATGAACAAAAGCTCTTTGTGCGATTCACCATTCATTTTCAACTACGAACAAAAAAAAAATCAAATTACACACCCCACTGCAGAAATACCTTAGCCGACTCCTCCATAACCCCAAGACAAATTCAAATAGGAAAAATATTCATGAGGGCTTTGAAAATTAGTTGTCTCCCAATCCCTTTTTCCAGCAAAATTGTGAGCGACAAAGCAAGAAAACCTCCATTGTACTGCCAATTTGAAGGGGGAGTTCTAGTCACTGGTGCCTTATGTCGCCCCAGACAAAACCAATTTTTCAATATCTTAAACCACATGTTTTCTGCATTTGACAAGGGGTGCCTTGTCCCGCACTTAGGAGGGGATAAAAACACAGACCTGGTGGTTTTGCGGTCACTGCGTGAATCAAACAATTATAGAATGATCATGGTTTGAGCCACAAAATCTTCTTTTTTCCCCCTTCAAACTTGGAAAGAATTCAAAGAGGAATGGTAATAGGTGTTTTCTCTACTAATGGTATTTTTCTGCTTTTACAGCATTCCTTTCGACTGAGAAAATAATAGTTATGAAAACAAACTCATTATAATGGAAGAATCTAAAGGCCCGGTCTCACCACCAGAACTTTGCTGGAGCGTCGGTCCAGCGTTCAAGATTTCTGCGTTGGCCTAGCGGACCAAAGCGTCCACGAACTTGCGTCTAGCGGTGCCAAACTTTGACTGGGCGTTGTTGAAGCTGTGGTGAACTTTGCCGGAGCGGAAAATTGCCCGCTCCTCACCGCTCGCAATATTTTGTGCAGCTCAAAACTTTCGGAGCGGTAGGAGGGGCCATCAGCGGTGGCCGAGCGTATACGGCGTTGCCTTAACGGGGGCCAACTTCTATTAAACGGTGGTGAACGGTTACGAGCGGTGATGAATTTTTTTCATCGCTCAAGGAACGCTCCAGCAAAGTTCTGGCGGTGAGACCGGGCCTTTAGAATGGATGCTTATTCTACATTGTATGTAAATTGTCATGACTGGATCCTAACAATGCTACACACAAACATGTACAATTGTACATGTACATTGTGTAGGTCTAAGTTCTAATCTATAACTTCATATTTGAATGAAGAAATTATTAGTGGAGCACAAATAACAGATGCATTTGAAAATGCTTCTGAAATCAGGCATGCATAGGTAACTAGTGAAATGATAAATGACAAATATGCAACAACAACAAACATATGTAATATGTATTTTTTTCTTCTTTTTTAAAACATATATTCAGGTGGGCTGTATCTAATACAGACCACCTTATATTTTTGTTAAAATCGCCTTTATTTATTATTTATTTATTTATTTATTTATTTTTCTTATTTCTACCCACTTTTTTGTGTTCAAGATAATTTGAAAATGGTTCAATCAAATACCTTGAAATTTGACACACATATGTATAGGCATATGAACAAAACACAGCAAACTTTTCAACCTTGACCTTGACTGATGACGTCATCTAGGTGCCATTTTGTGAAATTTTCTGAAAATTTACTCATGATCATCTTTTCATAACGGTACGTCATTTCTCATTCATATTTATCATGATCAAGGTCAATATCAGTCCGGACAATTTCAGGACAAAAAACGCGCGCGTGCGCGTACGTCCGCGCGTCAGTGCGCGCGCAAAATTTTAAAATGCTCAAAATCGTCTTTAATTTATTTTGCATACGTTTCAGGTCATTTTAAGCATTTTATAAAAAAATCGCGCACACGCACATGCGTGCGTGTTTTCGCGCGTAACACCATTACACAACGCAGAATCGCCATTTTTTTCTTTCATGATAAATTCCATATTTGTTTAAACAATTTAATACTATGTTCATCTCTTTATGACTATTAATATTAAGATGAGCGTCCATTCAAGATAAATGTCCGTGCGCGCGAGCTCTTATAATACATAGCATATATGGGCAAAAACATGCCTATACAAAATCCATTATAGCTCTTTGAAATGCACCGAGATCCTCAATTTTTTTTCATATTCTGATAGAGTATGAGTCGGAGATATGATTTCATGTCTCATTTGGCCATTAAGTGTATCGTGACATCATCACAATGGCCTTGGAACTCAAAATACGAATTTGCATATTATTACGTCAGCAATATGTAAAATTGATTGTATCTCTGTAAATATTGATCAATTTTCTTCAAAATTTCGATATGTTGTAGCTAAGACAATTCTCTACAAGCGCAGTAATAACTATTTTTTATTTTGATGACGTCATCATAGTGAAAATCTCGATTAAAGGCCTCATGTCAAACATTTCATAATTTCCGTTATCCCTATAGTAGGTGAATTTCGTTCACGTCATGAAACTACATGATATTGTTTTTTAAGAATTTTTAAGCAGTATCTTGCTTCAGTTATTTTTGCTCTATTTTGTCTCAAATTTAAGTTGACCAGCCCACCTATACTTGTTCCAAACAAGTATTATATGTCTAGTTGTGTTATTGTTTTGTATTTCGGGAATGCTTTCTTACATGCATATATTTGTAAAAATCATGTACCAATAGGCCTAACATACCTTTACCAAGAAAGATACCTCCAAAAACATCAATTGTGGTATTAAAAGCTGATTATAATTATTTGTCTTATTCATACATGCACTTCAACAAAGACAATAACCATCTCCTGTACTTTCTTTTACATGTATTTAAAAAAATCAAGTTTCTTCACAATTTTATACATGTATATTTTTTCTGAAATTGGTTCTGAACATTCAACGACATATCATTGATGGTGACAAATATAACAAGTAGCCAAATTTTTGTCGATAATCATAAAATGATTCATATGTCATTTTGTTTATTCAACATCACATGGCAAAATCTTGTCTGACAAGGAAGCTACCTAGGGGATGAAGCTTGTGCAACAAACTTCAAATGTTGATTGTAGCGATCCTGAGGGATCGATAGACATGGGAAAATATTTCCTCCCTTCATCTGAAATTATTCTTTTTCCTTCGTTCCCAGCTGGCTCATCTGTCAACAACTTGTCATTCAAGAAGATGATATTCTAGCTTAAAGGGGAAGTCCACCCTGATATTAAGTAGGTTTTGATAGAAGCAGAAACTGGAGAAGAGTTCGCAAGATATGTCACAGAGCTAGTTGCCATTTTTTTTTGATTTATCACAACTTCAAAAATTTCATAACTTTCTTATTTTTCATCAGATTTTTTGCTCAAACTCTCACTGATCTGTTTCTCTCATATTTCTGCTTCTATTGAAACTAACTTAATATCAGGGTGGACTTCCCCTTTAAAGGAATCAGTCAATCTTTCAAATGGATGTTGAAAAATGACTCCAAATAGTGATGAGAATTAGGAAGACGTGGTGACAAATGTATATTATTCCTAAGGAACTACTCCTTTTGCTATGATGATCATTATGATATTAGTTTTTATTGCAACATGAATAAAATTCCTATTATTCCTAGCTTCTTAGCTACAAGTAGAATCAAACATATTTGGCCTTTTCTATGTATCTTTTCTTTAAATCTCCATGATTTCTTGGACCCTTTTTCTCCATTCTCAGCAGAATTAGATAACATTTAAAAATTACAAATTTAACTATTCATCCATCACTCATGGGAGAAACTAATTATCGCTACATGCAGTATCGTACTATAATATTCCGTTCTTGTACTTGTAAAGTGTGTCGCAAGGCAGAAATATCAACTATCAGCTACATCACAAAACAGGCTCATGGGAACATGTGTGCAAAAGACACATCTTGATTCTCAATAACCTAGTTCTTCCAAAGAAAATAGAATAGAGCGCAATTCTTGTAAATTATTATTATTATTAAATTAAGTATTTGGCATCACCTGTGCCCGGAGGCAAAAAGCGAACTGGATCACTGTAAAGAGGTTGATTTGGAAGCAATACTGAATCACGTTTACCGGTAATCATATGCTTTGAAATCATAATGCATCATCAAAATTCCTCTTCACGTGGACCCATCAAAGTGCATGTACACTCTTATACAGCGTACATACCTGGGGTAGGAAACTGCTGGAATCATTTTAAGATCAACTTAACTCAATTTGACGAGTGGTATTTTGAGAAATAAAATTCATCCCCATTGTCCTCTTGCCCCATTAAGGCAGTATAGCTGCGGGCAATGCTTCCATTTTCATTACGATGAGGGAATTGATGCGCTCGTCCCACGACATGAATTCCAATGAGAACAAATTACATGTGTGTCATACAACCCGTCCTCAACAAAAGAGCCTAAAAATGCTGAAACACAAAAAAAAATCCTTTAAACTGATGGAATTTTCTTCATCTATGATATCTATAACTTTATCTTCAGTTGGATTAGTAATTTCTAGGGCTTGCAATTACCGTCTGTTCCAATTTTTCAACTTAAATTTGTAAGGTTTTGGACTAGAGAGGAAGGTCGTTCCTCCAAGTACACTGCACTTGTGTGGGTTGTGGCATGAATTTGAAGGTGAATTTAGCGCTCTCTCTTTATAGAAACTGACAAATGAACATTTGGTACCAAGCTTTAACATCTAGAAGCCTCAATTCTTTTCTTGATCTCATCATGATTCAATAGTAAATTACTGAATCTTTGCATTTGTATCAAGTGTTTGTAAAATGAGGATGTTACGTCTATTTTCCCTCCCTAGATTTCCCTCTACCTGTTTAACACTTACGAGACAAATGCTGGTTATATGATCAAACTTCATACATATATAGAGAAAGAGAGAAAGAGAAAGACATAAAGAGATATATGGAAATGGGGATTTAACGAATGAAATCAGTTGGAGCCAAAGGCATTGCTAGATTATTATGAATAGAGGCAGGGTGTGTGACCAAAATTTACAAATAATTTTGCATCAAGAAAAAGAAGGTTCTCCAATTTACCATCATGGATTTTGAAGATACTAACTTTTCAGACAGAAAATTTTAATGGGGGGGGGGGGGGGGTGGGGTGGAGGGTAGCCCCCAACAATCCACTCTAGCAATGCCCCAGAGCGGAAATCTTCTGATAAAGAGATTTAGTGTCACGTTACCTCTGCAGCACGACCTTGGATCCTGTCCGAGTGTTCAGGATATTTCCTCTTTAAATATTCCATGACTAGCGGGTTCTCTTTCACTTTGTTCGGAGAACGATTCTGTAAATTGAAGGGGAAAAAAAATCACTCTTTAGTGTCTCAACCAGTCAATTTTAATTCTTTTCACCTTAAAAGCCCTTTCCTTCTTATTTTCTAATCGTACAAATAGTGATCAAAATGGAAAAGAACCTTGTAAAATTGCTTCAAATCCAAGTTAACATCCTAACTCCTTTTTTTACAATGTTCGACATGAGAAAATGGCACTTATTCAGAGTCTCATTTCTTACATGTATCTACCTTTCATTTTGCACCTCAGAAAAGTAGATCGTGCAATAAAAATACCTATATTTATTTCTTCTTATTATTGTCAATGTATTCAACATTAGTACTGTAATATGTACCGGTATGCTAATTTTAATATACCTTTTTAAAAATTAATATTAAAAATTAAACTTATCATATTTAGACTCATAAAAGTAAACTTTAAACCATGGAGATCACTTCTTATCTTCATGTTTAAACTTAACACTTACATGTTGTAGTAACGCAAGATTCTCTAAGTCTTCTGCATTCTCCACTCCTACAAGCGTGTGTCTCTTGTTGAAGTTATCTCTCCGGTTATCTCTTCTTCTCACAGCACCACCAGCTAGGCTGTCTGAATCACCCGAGAGAGACGATTGGCTGTTATACTCCTGACTTACTCGTAACCCTCCTCCTTTCTTTCCTGTGAACGGGAAGAGAAGAAAATAAATAAAAATTTTAAGAATCATTCGTAACATTAAACACTAATCAACTGAACTCAGGAATCAATATAAGAGTGCATTGTAGAATGACAAGCAACTTACTTTTGTTTGTTTTTCTGTGTTAATTGTTAATGAGTCCTCATTACATCTTCATTTATGTTTGATATTCTACATTAAAGAGTTTACAATGTATATTGTAATTGTTGGCCCTCTTTCCTCACAATTTTTTAGTCAAAAGTTTGTAACAAACACTCAATTTGAGGGACGCCATCTAATTCCTCAATGACATACATTTGCCTTGTATTCCAAATTATACTGTACTATCAAGTAAATGATTTGGAAACATGGATTACAGTCGATTGTGATTCCTTTGTAGTTTATGACATGATTAGGCACATGAATACCTAACATAACAAATTCAATCAGTTTCACCAAAGACATAGATAAAAATGCTTGTTGAGAGCGAGAAGGGCATTATCTCATATACTTTGACACAGACTTTTAAACCCTTCTGGCATTGAACGTACAAGATGTTCCTACATACAGTACATTAAGCTCGTTACATATGTTGTCTGTACATTCGGCAGAAAATTATAGTGAAATGTCATAGCCCTGGCTTTAACAGACTCAATTTGCACAAGGATGCTATACATTCTGAGCAGGACGTTGCTCGCAGATGACCCACATACTCGAATGGGGGGCATTTTCACAGCTTTCCTCCTGCAAAGGAAGAACGGTGGGAAAGTTTCTGCCCGCTTGATGACAGTTCTATTCACTAAGAGCGGTGCTGGCTCGGTGGAAAGGTAATACTACCATAACAAAGCATCTGACTTGGATTTTTTTTTTGCTCCGTATTCTCCCCACCCTTGTTGTACGAGAGGTTGGAGTGGGGGTGGGAATAAGCATGTAAAAAAAATACCTTCTTACAATCACTTAGGCCTGGAGTATGAACAAGTTTTATCTTACATGTAATTCATGGTTTAACCTCTATAAGCATAGTGCTAAAGTGAGTCTTCATGCATGCCCAATATATGGGTGCTAATTTCATATTCACCCAGTCCTGGTTACAAGATGGGGGGGGGGGGGGGGGGGGGGGTGTAGGCCCGTACAATAAAAAATTCACCAAAAGCAGAGAGCAATATTGAATATAACAATGGAAATATGCAAAAGAGTTCTGGCAACAACTACAAAAAAAGGGGGAAAAGACCTACCGGGTTATACAAAAATAAAAATGTAATACATACACAGATATACCGGGGGGGGGGGGGGGGGGGGGGGGTCTCACTTTTAGGACAACAAATCCATAAAGATTTTCCATGTTTTAAGTAGTCGGGGCCTACATGCATTTTAATAAAAACAGGTAAGGGCCCAAACCCTCATAAATACAATACCTGCCATAGGGTCTGATATACCAATACCGAAGACTACATGGAGTGAAGTTACTCCTTACAAAAGATTGATAAGGCAAGGCTTGAGGCACTATATGCATATACAGTTGTTTTGTAATTTTAATTTTCTTTCAAGCATAAAATAGAGTCCAACATATTTCAGCAACTGATACAAACAGGCAACAAGTTTTTGGCTCATGACATGATGACATTTTGTTGAATTCTCCAAATAGCGTCTGAATGTCTACCCGTATGCCTGTAGACTAGATGGAGGAAGGGAGGGGCGGGGTGGAAATGCATGAGACGTGATGGCATTTCAATTCTTTGCCTTGAAAATCAAAATGGGGATGCAGGAAATATAGCAGTCCTTGACTGTGAGTACCTATTGTAATGATTGAACTTTGAAATGCACTTGAAAGCATTTTAACCATGGAGATATTTCACCATAATTTTGAAGTTTGATCAGGACATTGTTGTCTTGATCAAAGTGCATTATACACATGGAGCTAGAAAATATGCATTAGATCATGTTTGTATGATTTAGAATATTGGGTATTACATCGAGATATCATTGAGGTATAATTTGTAAATTTATTGCTAATAAAACCTTTATAAACTTGCAACCTGATGTATAGTTGATGATACAAATAAAAAAGTTCCATATCCTACATGAATATCTACATGAATTCAAAATACATGTACATCTAATAACAATGATAATTTTGTTTTACGCAGGGAAGCCTCATCAGCATCAGTGCTGTTCTTCTGGATGGTCCTCCACTTAATATTACCCCCAGCATTTGCTAGGCACCATTTACACCTGGGTGGAGAGTAGCAAATGTGGACTAATGCTTTGGGATTGGAACCCTCAACCCTTGGCTCGTGAGTCAAGTGAGAGAACCACTATACCTTGACACCATAGCCTTCGCAACTTAACCATTTTAATTTTGCATTTATTGAAATTGAATGAATGAAGAATGCATTGAATCTACATGCAGTATACAAATTACACAGGTCTACACTGTCTGTATGTAAAGTACACCAAAATGAGCAGTATTTATATTAGTTTGTTAAAGGTACTATGTCCCATTTGCAGGCCAAAAAAATGAATAAGTAAAATTCCAACTGCATTTGAAAGATAATATTAATTTAGAACTTCCCTAAAAAAGGTGGGGCTTGAAAATGTCTTCAAGTGGGAAAATAACGACTATTAGTTGTCAAATCGACTTTAGTGCTATAGAGCCCAAAATTAATAGTCTTGATTTTCAGACAATTGTACCGAATGGTCATATGTTTTATGCTGCGCAAAGATTCAATCAGTTTAATCTTGGCCATCACAAGAAGTGGGTTATTGATGGAGACAAATGCTCATGTACCGTTTACAATTCTTTTCATGTATGTTATTACCAAAGAAGAAAAAAAGCCAGTCAGTCACTCAATAGTGTCTGACAGTGAAGTCTAGCAAGTAAACGGGTTTCCTTGCATAATTTGAATATGAGGACACTGCTAACGTTTAAATTTCACAGATAGGACATACATGACATATTCATAATTCCTGCAAAGTTCTACAGAATTTGAGGTTGGCTGCAAAAGGGACATAGTACCTTTAAAAGGGGTAGGAAGCGAGTTTAGCTTGTATTTGAACAACTGGTAAATTGACCCTACTATACAAATTTGAAAGGGAGGCAAAGACTGCAATGTGGCTCGGTATGTTCAAACACGATTGAGTATACATATTATGTACTTACTAATTAAAGTGAGATGCATGTAAAGTGAGATGCATGTAAAGAGAGAGAGGGGGAAAGGGAGAGAGGGAGGACAGAGAGAGGGAGGGAGGACAGAGAGAGGGAGGAAGGAGATATCAAGATAGGAGAGGAGAGATCAAGATATGATAGAGAGAGAGTGAGAGAGAGAGAGAGAGTGAGAGAGAGAGAGAGAGAGAGAGAGGAAAGGGGGAATAGAGGAGAAAGGGAATGAGATAGAGAGAGGTGTGGGGAATGAAGGAGAAAGGGAGTGGGAAAGAAAGACGAGGAGAGATAAAGAAGATTTAGAGAGAAGAGGAAGACACAGATAAGACTTGATAGAGAGTGAGTCAGAGATGTTAAAAGGGATTGAGAAATGTAAAACAAGATATTTAGATGAATAGATGACAGCAAGCCAATAAAAAGATCTATAAACTAACAGAAATATTGAAAAATGACACCAAAATGAGAAGCAGAGAGAAACATTTCATACAGATAATTCACAGGTAAACATGGAATAGAATAAAAATACTAGAGAATGAGTTGAACATTATCAGAAATCATTTACCAGTATGTACTTGTACATATACACTATACCATATGCTACTATTTACTGAAAGAAGAGCAGACAGTGACGTCAAGGTATGACTATTATTGCAAATATGTGCGCCAAATTGGCAAATCACAAGTATCTTTCAGAATCAAGAGCATAATAAAGATTGAATGTCTAGCTGAAGAGCAACTTTACCCAAAGAGGAGCAGCGGTAAGCTTTTACCATGTTAAAAATCAATCTGGCTTCAAGTGTACATTCATGCATGTCATTTGTTCATATTGCTTGTTTGTTTTGTTGATTTGTTGAAGTCTAGTGGGTTTGATGACAAATGTTCATATTCTCAAATTTGGAATAAACTGAACAGATGTCTTCATTTCTGAAGCAAATGCCCATACAAGTCATTACAGGCCTGTGTAAAAAAAAAGAATGTGCCCATATTGTGAATATGGATCTAGTCATTTGAATAAGCACAGCATACAGTATATGAGTACAGTATACACCAAGTGACATCAACGTTTTTTTTTTAATAATGACTACAGTATGAGACAATATACAATGTATCTTGCAACATAGGCCACTACCTAGAATTGTTTACCAAAATCCAGAAGGACATTAAGTCACAAAAGAAAGCAGACAATCATTCACAAACAAAAATAGTGTGGGGAAAACAAGATTAACCCAGGGTATAGCCACATCAGTATTGATACAGTTAGTCCTGAGAGCCCTGCAATCATCATTAATGAGGGCCCTGCAATCATCATTAACGAGGCTCTGTCTGGGGAAGACTGGAACTGAAAATCAGTTAGGGAATTTGTTGCCACCAGCCCATGCAACCTAAGGTACAAATCAACCAGCAATCAGATCACAAATCGACTCCCCTCAAACCAAAATATTGAACAGCCCATGGGAAAGTCCCCCCCCCCCCCCCCGCAAACTCCCCATGACCAGTCTGCCCGTGCCCAGGCTCTAGCCAAGCCACATGTACCATTCTAAGGTGCTCAAACAGTCCAGGTATGTCTCCCTATCAGGTACCCATTTACATCACCTGGGTAGAGAGTGGCAAATGTAGATTAATATTTTGCCACCAGAAAATTAGTGATGTGGCAGGGATATGAACCTAGTACCTTCAGCTTCATAATCCGATGACCTTTCCACTAGACCACAACAACTTCACATAGCTGCTTTATGCCTTCCATGAGTTACAGATTAAACTCCAACACACAAAATCTACGAATTTGTTTGAACATAACTGTCCATGACCAAGCCAAGGACTATTTAAAGTGTAATCATGGACTTG